AATATAATTTTCGTTTTATATCCAAAAGAAATAGCATTACATTTGGGTTTATTCTAATTCAAACTATTGTTTATATAGTCGGATTATAGATATCGATTATGGAAAATGAGATTCAATGATTTTAGTTGAAACTTTGATGTCGACGCAATCGACAAAAGACGCTATCCTGTCATTTGGGGATACGAATTCGACGTTTAGGCAAGTGTCTTTATCTCCTTTGACACGAGAGCCATGAAAAGTAAAGAGAGAAATAACGGAAGGGACAGAAAGAGAAGAAGAAAATACTTACTGGGCGACTGGTTGATAGGAAGGGCGAGGGGGTGCAGAGGATCGAAACTTATTTACTTGCTCAACTAGCTTGGGCACACAGCTTTCAGTAACCTTATCCAGTCAAAACCGCTAACACAAGAGTTTGTTCAACATTGCTTTTCAAATCTGTATGTACGATTCTGGCGGGTTGCGCGTTAATGTTCACATGAGATAAATTAATGGATGAAGAGAAACGTAGAGAGAAAGTGAAAAGGAAAGGCAAAGCGCGCGTGCACGCGATAGAGAGAGAGAGAGAGAGAGAGAGAGTGAGAGTGATAATATCATGAAAGTGAGTAAGAGAGTGCAATGAAAGAGGAGGGTAAACAGAAAATATTTCTCGTGTTTGTTTAAAATAATTCTTCTTTCTGGCTGTACCCAATAGCGTTAAAATTCATTTGAATCTTCTGAATAAATAAGTAGATTGCGGGGAAGAAAGAGATGGAAGATAGACAGAGAATATTTTTAGAAATTTTTATGGAATTTTTCGGGATCACAATATTCATTAATTTTATATGTATTATTGCAGAAAAAGTTTTCATTGTTCTTATAGAAGTTTTTGTAGGATTTTCAAGAAAATATTAGTAAAATATACAATCTTGATGTTCGTGTTTTTAAAAAAAGTAATAAAATTTATGGAAAATTTAGAAGAAGAAATCACGACGTTGATCAGTTGTCTAATTAAGAAATATTATTTCACATCTATTGGCCGGCTTCGGTGCAATTATAAGTTTAAAATCTATTTTGTTTGACTGCAGTTAACATACAAGTTAAAAGGAAAAAAATAGAACAAAAATGTCCGTCCATTCTATTTGAAAAGTCTGACTGACTTTTAGAAGCAACACTCGAAGCTCTTACTTAATAACTCTGAAACTTCATAAACCTAGTATATCTAAGTATTGATTATTTTAGATTATAGCCAAGAGTCTCCTCGCACCCACGACTTTTTCTTCAATGTGGGATTAAAGTCTCGGAATATCTCTTATCATCCCTCGATAAAGCACAGAGAGTGGATCATAGCCCTAGGCAATTAATCGGAGGATTTACCGCTGAAAAAAATTTATGATTAAAAAGCTTCGTGAGATTCACGACACCATTACCGAGGACATTCGTGCTCAAGTATCTTCATGCAGGTGGAACACCAGAGAACGTTATTCTCGAAGGACTGCAAGATCCTTGGCTAACGTCTTGCAATTAAAATTTGATCTGTCCTTTGTACCACTAATAGGACATTACCTGTGCGCGAAGAGTCGCGCGGGAAAAACGGAGAACGGCGCTCGGATCTATAAACGATGTAATTAAGTTTTCTCGGCTAAAGGCCAGTCATTAACGTAGAAAAAGCACGGCTGCAATTCACACGAACAATGAAACTCTCTCGTCTTGACTGCAAGCGTCTTTGCCTTGCCTCCCTTCCCACCTTTTATGTCAGCTCTGAAAGACGTTCAGGGTCGTGTAGTTGAAAGGTGGGTCTATCGTTTCTTTTGCGCTCAAAGTTCTTTCAGCAATTTAACACTGACAGAGTGGCTCGATGCTGTATTAACTGTCATATTCATGTTATCGTCTAAAAGAACGAATGACGTTGAAGAATGAATTTGGTATTGGCTTCGTTACTTGAATTTTCGAGTTTTGATAATTCATTGAACTTCCGATAATAGCGGTAGCAAGTTAATTTAACTCGATTCATTAGGCTTAGACATGATCGATTTTATGTATTATATACGATTGTCCAATGAATTTTCAGTGTACATCAAATGGAGAGATAGAGGAATGAAGAAAGACAGCAGATAGATAGATAGATAGATAGATAGATAGATATATGAAGTTGAAGAGAGAGAGAGAGAGAGAGAGAACGAGAGAGGGTGAATGAAAAGTAAAGGATTGCCTACATTTTGCATTGTCAGTGAGTGCAGCTTGAAGTTTGAGTCAGGTCAAAGTATCAGACCCAATGTAGTATACAACTATGTCGCTGAAATTCGAAGACAGTTCCGTCTGATCGAACCCTCGCTCTTTTACCCGCTTACCACAAACCCGAACGCATCATTTACATGGGCGCCTATCCACGCACACGTATGGGCGCTCGCGTGCACGCACGCTGACACACCAATATGCATATGTATATGAAGAAGTGTAAGGGCTACAGTCGAGTTGCACAGATCACTCAGCCTGCTTTCGCGTCAAGGCGAGGCTTTGTGGACCGGAGATTACAATGGCATCTCCTTCAGATTAGCATATGAATTACGGTTCTCGCTCGCTTGCTCGCTCGTCCTGCTCCTCCTGAACCAACTTGCCCCCTTTTACCCTCCGTTGCTACACGATATCAGCTAGGCTTTGGCCCTCGAACGGGAGTAAGTGCCATCTGCCGAGGTCGATTTCTCAAGAACGAGGAAGAGTTATGCGGGCACGACTGCGCGCATCCACCCTGATTCCATCCTGGAAGATGATCCAGGATTTGATTAGGGAAACGGTGTAATAACCCGCGAAGCTTCTCGCATGCGGGTACGCGATGAACGAGCAAGAAGAAAATACCCAGTCTTTGGTTCCACATATTATACGACGGCTTTTTTTAATTTTTATTTCGAGCATGACAGTACTGCATGGCATGTTCGGGAGCTCCATTGTCTTATCATCCGATTACTTGGTAGACATTGTCGAATTTCCGATTATTCACATAATGTTAAATAGTTGGAGATGAACGAATATATGCTAAAGGAATATTGAAAGACGAGGCTTTGAGAGGGACGCGTGGCTAGTATGATTTAAATATGCAGCCTTCTATTACCGACAAAATAATAAAAATCGTAAATTTTCTTATTTTTTACATTGCATGCGTATACGTATCCACCCATACCCGCACACCCCTGCTGTAAACTATAATTTTGTGTTTTCTCATATTATACTTTAATAACAAACTTTAACAATAACTCTGTTTAATGATTATATTTTTTTGGATGGAAGCTAATGAAATGTATCGATAATTATATTATGAACGCGTTGATAATTGATGAAATTGTGTCAAAAACTGGCATTGATTAATGTATGTTGTGATGTATTTTTGCTACTTTCTCAAGCTGATAATAAGAAAAATGGGCAAAACTGACCTAAAAGTTAAAATGAAGAAATGACAATTACCAATAATTTTTGGATTTATAATTTTGTTCTCTTACTGTTATATTAGCAATTTCATAAATTATTATATATTTCTGTTATATTTATACCTATTTTTATATAAGATTTTTAAATAATCATAAAGCGAATGCACTTATCAATGATCAAATAAGTAATATTATGCTAATAAGTTAATCAGCGTGTTCCCTTATTTTTAATCTTTGGAATCATGAAAATATATCGAGTTCATATTAGACAAAATTTTTAATTGAAAATTAATTGAGATAGATATAACGAACAGATTTATAAAATAAAATTTCAATTTATTATGAACGTTATTGATCCTAATTTTTATTATTTCGTTTATTCTATGTACTATGAAGTGATATGTATAAGCCACATTTATTTAAAATTTTATTCGAGAAAATTAATCGGGATCGATGTTTATGTATAATATAGATGGGAGAATTCAAATTATTTTTCAAATTGGCTGAAAAGTGCATCCGCTCCTTTCTATCATTTTATACTCTTGTATGTTGAACATGTTGTAGTATTCCTTAAATTGTACAGCCCTGAAAGAAAACTGCATGTAAATATATGAATATGAAAAGAGCACATGAGTCACGATCGTTTAGTTGATTTTACCCTTATCTATTTTTTGGCCGATTTCCAACAGATAAAATCAGAAACTATTTTGTACAGATATAAAATGAAAAGAGAGGAAACATGTAAGCCGAGCTTCCTTTACTTTAGGTCAAATGACTTGTATTTCTTGATTTTGATAATTTACAAATGCGGTAGTATTGATAAATCAATAAGAATGAAAAAGTAATTGCATTTATATTTATATATATATAAATTTCTATTAATACATTTCATAAATTTCTATAAATTTATATACGTTATATAGTAATTTGTATACGTTTATAACAATTTTCATATATAATTATTTCTTTTTGATAATTTCAATTTGATGATAATTTTAATGATAATTTATGGATAATACGTTTTATCAGAATGGAAGTATTTAATTCATCAATTTTATATTTCTTTATTAAAGTTAGAACTTAAATAAGGACTAATAATCTCTAAGATAGACAAAGATCTACGGTAAGCATATTAAACAATGTTGTACTTTTCATAAACATTCTACCGAATGAATTATAATAAGCGAGAAATATGTACACGTAATGTCATATTATATAAAATGAATAAATATTTGCTTGTTAAATTAAATGATGAAATTTTGATAAAAATTTATAATCTACATTTTATAATGTTTATAATCTACACGCACGCTTGTAACAGCGTAGGAAGCTTAATTCCGCAAAATTACTTATCAAATATTTTCAAACAATTTAAGCAAAACTTAATTTCACTATTTCACTAATCAATTTTATAAAGTTTTCGTGCTATTATTAAAATCGTTTCGAAATTGGAATAGTTGGCGCATAAACGATCGTGTCTGGTCATTACACGTAAACTCCATCTGAAAGTAAACTTTGTTAAGCGCTTGTGACAAAATGAACAGTTTCAGTCATATTGGAGTCCCTTCTACGCTAATTATCGGATCGATCGCTTGTTCTCACCTCCGCGGTTTTCACTGTCCGCCGGTTTGACTTGAATAGGACGGTTCATCTGAAACAAAAGACAGAAATACGACGTTAGCTTAATTATGTATTTAAGTGCTTTGATGTTGTTTGAACATTATTTCAAATTTATTTACGTTTGAATATTAATTATATCTCATAGTTTTAATCCATATTTTAATTGTAATTTTAATTTTTTTTTTTTTAAAGAAAAAGTGTTATTGTTACGTATACTAATATAACAAATAATTAATCCATAGTGAAAAATACCTCTCTGTAAACTTGTAATTATCCGCCTAAGTGTTTACGAGCTACGAAAGTGTCAACGAAATATAACGATTAAACTGTATTGAAATTTCTTTTTGAAATTCCTTTTTATGATATTCTATACTTATATACGTCTGTCTGCTTGTGTGTTTGTGTGTAAGCGCTTGCGTGGGCGTGTATGAAAAGTTTTCTTTGCTGGGTAGAAAGAAAATTCCAGCGGAATGTCAAAATGAAAATCACCCGAGAATATATACAAGAGTGTGTTTCTTATTTTTCCGTTTTGGAAGCGATGAGGAAGCAAAAGTAACTTCAGCAGCTACCCCTTGACTTGAAAATCCTCCTAAGGAAATTTCGAATGAATTCACATCCCTTTTTCGTGGCTTAGTCGGTACTTGGTCATTTTCCGATGGGACATTACTATTCGTTTTGAGACATGTATCGTCAATGGATTTTCATTGCTTTTTCCACTACGAAGATGAATGATTCATAATGCGATGCACGATGCCAAGGGTCAACCTTGCCAGTTATATATTATTCGACCTACATGTGTGCATTAAAATGTTATGTCTATTTTTTATTGAAATATCAAGTAGATTGGCTCTTTTCCGTTTCAACTCCTTTCTTTTTGCATCTCACGTAAGTAATCATATATATAGCTTATCGACGGCTCTAAAAACGTTGGGCCAGTAGACATGGAACGACAATTTATAATTATAATTGTATTTACAAAGTTGTGTAAATTTTATTATTTTGTAGTTAGAGAGTTTTGTATTAATAGAGTTTCCTATTAATATTTTGTCGTAAGTAAATCTTAACATTATTATTTATTATGAAGTTTGTGTGTAAATATATTTAGATTTAGCTAACTAAGAGGTAGTAAGAAACATTGATTTAAGCAGTAAATATTTTAAAACTTTTAAGAAAAATTCTATAATTTCTAATTAATGGATTTTATCTATTTATTCAGCAACACGAAATAAATGTGGCATTTTAGAGTAGTTAAATATTAGTAGAAAATTAGAACGTTCAATTTAGAGTTCAATTATCAATGAGTTATGAAGTTATATGTGTCCATCTTCCTGCCCTTCCACAAATTTCCAACAGCTACAAGACAAAGAATAAGATATCTATTTCTCATCCAGGCACTTGTTTTAACCATCTTGGAAAATTTGAGGCGGAATCATGAATTAGTTATTCCGGTCATTACCTTGGCTCTAGGTACAAGCAGCAGAGGGTAAGTTACTTAATAAGCGTTGCTCCGTTCGTTCGTCCAGGAAATTAAACCTCCAGCCGCAGGCATTAGCACATTAGACGTTTGTTGTTGGCTTAGGTTGTCATGGGGAAGCCGTGGTGTAGATACTGATATCGAGATACTCCGTTTCGCCCTCCGTTTTTTTTCTCTTTTTTTATATATATATATTTTTCCCTTTTTTGGACTCCCATCGTGTATGCAAGTATTCCTTGTGTTATCGGAGTCATGATTTTTTTTTTATTTTTGTTTGTATTTAATTTTACGGCAGGTCGGTTATGTGTACCCTTCGGTGCACATTCGTTATCGCCGGTACTTTCTCTTTAATTTACATGTCTTGTGTGAGCAAGCAAGTTTCGAAGATATTTCTTTGATAAATAATAATCCATTGAGATTTCTTAAAGCGATTAGCATCGATCATTTTTACTGCATATAATTAAAAATATTAGCATTTAAAAGAGTAAATTAGGTAATTTTCAGTTCTAAATCGTGTTCCAGAACTTTTCATAACGAACATCTAAACTATAATACAATATATTTGTTAGATAATTTTACATAATGTAACAAACAAAGAAATATCGCGTTTAAAATCAAACAATTGCAGCTGGTAATAGAGTTACGGTTGCTCTTTTAATTCGAATTATCACTAAATATCGGCAGAAATATTAAGTCGATCTATTGCTTGGCCAAAAGTAAGGAAACATTCACTAATACTGCATTCATTTTATAATCTCCATACAATGCAGTATGATTTGCAATTGCATACTAACCAATATTGTGTCCTTATATTTTATCATACTCTTGCTTACACATAAAATAAAAAGAAAGCAACAAAAATCGTAATCAAATTTCGCGCCTTCATTTTAAGCGTAATACTTTCGCATACGCTTGGGTGTCGTTGTGTAAATGTCAGTTGCAGTGCTGCGGGATGACGCATGTTACAGTCGATCGTTCGATACGCAACTTAACCACAGTGCTTAACTATTAAAATAAAAACAAATCATCGAAGCGCGTGTATATGTTGCACTTGTGAATCCGTGACGCCGCGAGGGTTTTCATGGTATAGTTAAAAGCGCGGACCTAATATCCGATGATGCGACGAAAACGTCTTTCGAGTGACAGGCGAATACATTTTTGTCGAAAAATTGATGAAAGCATTGAGCTTGACGTTGGCTGTCGTAGCTTACGAACTTTATATGAGAGAGAACAGTGAAATTCACTGTCAGCGTAATTCTTCGATATTTTAGGCAGTTGATGCATAGAAATGTAATTAATTGTAAAAGGTACTCAACAATTGACACGGGGAAAAATTTTAGTTAAAATTTTTAATTAATTCTATTCTATTAGATAATCAAATTTTCCCGATTAAAAACAAATATCTAATGCAGTAATAATAATAATAATAATAATAATAATAATAATAATAATAATAATAATAATAATAATAATAATAATAATAATAATAATAATAATAATAATAATGAAATAACATACTCTGCACATTTATTTTTATTTTTTTTAACATTAATTTTATTTTATACGTAATGGTCGTGCACATGAGAAATCGTAATATTCATTGAGCAATATATGTACAGTTCAGTTATATATATATATATATATATATATATATATTAAAAGTAACTTTAGTATATATATTATATTGAATGTGACTGGATATATAGCAGAATGATAGTTAAAAAATAAAATTTATGTACAATTTCTACATTCTACTATATATACGTAGGCGATCACGTGCGATTAGAACCTCGGGATTCGGATCGATCGAATTGACAACGACGACGACGGCGCTACAACGTTAAGACGGATAGCAATAAGCAAATGTATTTGGTCGAACCGCACCCCACGAGCAATTAATTACGCTCGATTATCTACGCGTGGGTTTATGAGGCTCGCGAACTAAGACGATAAATAAATGTTTATGAGGGTGGGAGAGAGAGAGAGAGAGAGAGAGAGAGAGAGAGAGAGAGAGAGAGAGAGAGAGGGAATGAGTGAGTGAAGGGGGGGGGAAGAGTGATATTATAGGGGTGCTATAGCACATGTGTATTTGGATCGTAGGATAATCTTACAATTTTCCGTATTTTTTTAATCGATCAATGCTGTCGGTCTTGGCTTGATCCTCGATAAGAATGTTTTAGTGCTTGAAAGTGTGTCGCATTAGGCCATTGTTTTCCAATGTGTACGCAGTCTCATTATACTTCGATCGGCAAGTTAGTAATTTTAGATAATGCTTGTATTTAATTATCTCGGGTGTATGCCTAACGTTCTTAGAAAATAAAATTGATAAAACTGGCCTTTTATTAAACTTGGTTAAACTAGTTAGTTGAGTGATGTGGGAGTGAGGATTATAAATTGTAACTGTTCGTTCTTGAGATGCGATTACAAGTAATAGGAATTTTCCACTTGAATAAATCTTATTTAGAATCTTGATATATTTTAAGCTCGATATTATTGATTATATATTAAGCATGTTTTTTTGCAATAGTTTAATCAAATATTTCATCATTATATTTTTCTGTTTTAATAAATTAGAGTTTCTTGTCGATTACAGTTTAGAAAATGAATATCGTTTTCTCGAAGATACATTTTAAAAAATAGATAATTTTTGAAAGTTACATCTTTAATATTTGCAGAATATTATTAAAGTAGAAAATTTATTACCTTTCAAATATAATTTTATTTAAAAATCAGACGAAGGACTGGATAATTTAACTTTAGCTTTTTCTAAAAACTCTAATAATCATAATAATGTCATTATTGATAAAGAATTGAAAATTCTTTTCTTTATGGCAGTCATTACATTCATTACATAAGAATTTCTGTTTCACAATATACTTGAATGCTACTCAATTCCTGATTTTCACACCATAAGAAATTGCAGATCAACATATTTGAAAATGAAATGATGAAAAACGTAGGGATTTCTCAGATATGACGATTGTAAAAGCCTCAAAAAACTCAATTGCCAGCCTTAAAAAAATGTTAAAAAGCATACGCATTCCTTGTGGAACTAAGTGTTCCGCCTTTTGACGTTCTGCACAAGGGATCGAAGAAAAGCACGCGCAATGCAATTGTGCTTTTTTGATATTTGACATACTATGGATTCCGTAGTGTATCGAACGTATACGGCCGTGACGTTTTCACGTGAAAACGTGAATATTTGAGGTAACGATAAAGAAATCGTGTAATTTAAGTATTCATTTATCCTCTGTGTAAATTCTAAAAGCAACGCATTGCTTTTCAGGAATGTATATTATGTAAAATAAAATATTTAAGTTCTGTAATTTTCGAGAGAACGAGATTTTCTATCTCATGTATAAATACTGCGGTCCATTAATTTTATTAATTTAGAATAGTTGAAATGGTTTAATATCGTTGTTCATCAACCTATTGTGATATATTTAGAAAATTGAAAGAATTCTACTTAAATCATGTAAAAGAAATTAAATAAAACTTGTTAAAAAATTGAGAATCTCTAAAATATTATTACATACAATTTATTATTATTAAAAAAA